ACTGAAAATATAAATTACACAATTATTAATTTCACATATTTATATCGGTATTAATTTATCGCTGATTTAAAATTATAAAATTTCCATTGATTACTCCATCTATACGTTCATATTTATATTTGCATTTACAGAGATTCGAAATTGCGTTACACCGCTGGTATTGTAACCATGATCGTGACTTCCAAGTTACCTTGCAATGCGCGAGGTCTGTCTGTTTCGTATTACATTGCCAAGCACGGTCCACGAGTTTCCGTTTTATACCCCGGTGAACCCCGGCGCGATTATAAGGGACTCTCCGGGAGACAGGGCCGTCCTAAATTGCACTCGAGTGTTTCGCAACTCCCCTCGACACTAGGGCGATATTCCCTCCCGAGTTAGTGTTCGCAAAACCCTGCGCGCTTCGAGAAATCTCACTACTCTTGTATAATTCAACGAGACACTACTTCCGTATACGTCCGTAAGATAATTCCTATTAACGGGAAGAAAGATGAAGGGCCGACAATTTCCGTATCGCGTGCTTCGCGTTCATCGAAGAAGCGTGCATTGCGCGCTATCATTGCCAGACATTATCGCCTGAAGAGAAATATTAAATACAACAGAATTAGATACAAATTAATTATATTTAATTGTTAATTCATCATATATTTGTAACGTTTCTTTAAAAATAAGCTTACTTGCTTTTTATTCTCTCAGTTAGTTTCACCGATAGCAGTAATTGTTCTTCTATCTTGATGTAAAGAGAATTTCACAAAGAGGCAAAGAAAAATGTGTATGAACGGTAACAGTCGGATCACAACCCGGAAAACCAGGATAGTATCGACTCTCGAGAAATCGTTTCGATCTCTCAGTCACGGGGTCGGTTCATCGTGCAGGTCGAGAGAGGGACGAATGGCGGATTGCGCGGACAGCATGAGAGAGAAAAGAAACGAGAGAGAGAAAGAGAGGAAAGTTGCTCTGCTGCATGAGAGAAAATCGCGCGAAATAAAAGCATCCAATTTCCTGCGAATCGTCCGTCGGATCTCTTGGCGGACTTCCTCCTCTTGCCGCGACGTCCGACTAGTGGTGCGAGAAGAAAGGGCGCGAAGGGTCGGTTCCTGCTTTTCACAGTCGGACATCAGACGCCAAATGCAGTCGGCGAAACGCTAAGGGGGCGCGAACCGATGGGGAAGGGGTGTTAGAATAACTCGCTTTCTCGCTGAACGAACAGCGCGAAGAAGGGCGAGGCTTTTATTTTGTGATGCACAAGCTGGCATTTCAATTATTTATATCGTGCTGTCGGTAACAATAAAATCTCCGCTCTACGCCTTCTCATTTCTGCTTTCGTGCCCGATTTTTAGTTTTCCCGTTATTTATTTCTATCTCCTTCAGATATTCCCTTCAAATATTCCTCTTCTGATTTACGTTGAGGAAACTCATGTATAATAGATTCGAAAACGCTTTATAAGCCTCATTTATAGAATTATGATTGATTCACATGAAAATTGCATAATAGAGTCAGTCGCTATGAATAATTATGTTTATTCTTCTTCAAGTCTGTATCCTTCTAAGACAACTCGCTCAGAACCGACAAGTGGCATAATATATTTCAAATAATAAAGACAACAGCTGCGGAAGCTAAATGCAAGTCGCAAATTCCTTGCTGGATTGCTGATGCAGCGTGACGTTCGCTTATTTGCATCACATAATTGACAATACAGCTATTTGCCGGATATTCTCCATTCCTTTGCTGCCCCCTTTCGTCGATTCTCATTCTTATCCTTAATCCTTTACGAGCTCATAACGATTCCCGACATTCCTCGACAATATAAACTTCAAGATCCCTTGTTTCTCTCCTTCTCTCTTTCTCTTTCTACGTTGCATATCTAATGATTGAGGAGTCAAGCTTCTTATCGAATCGCGTAACGGATACAGATCTCTGATGTGATTTAAACTTTTGAGCGAGTAAGCGAGGAAAAAAGTTGAAGAACTCACGTAAGCTGCATCAAGAATGAGTATCTTTTTTTTCTTCGAAAGACAAACTGACAAAGTAACAATGCTTATCTTCTCGAGTTACATGGCGCTTCAATTATTTACGATGTCTTATTGATCTATCTTACTATCCTATACTCGTTACTCATGCTTTTCATTGTTTCCTCTATTCTATTCTATGCTACTTATCGACTTACAGATTTTTTTTCTCTGGATTATATATATTATATTGTCCCATTTAAGCGTTTCCCAGACATTTTCACATAAACAATACCAAATTTGTGTGATCTTATGTGCAGAATAATCGAAATTCATCGCAACTGTGTAAAAATTAGATTATTATTATTATTATATATTTATATATTATTATTATGTACTTATATATTTATATAAAATATTTATATATTATATATATATATATATATATATATATATATCATATATTACAAATCGTAAAAATATATAGAATAATATATGATGGAATTATATATTTTCATCCAAACACGAAAAAACAGCTGAGAAATAAAAGCTTGAAAAATTCTTATCCGAAAAGTTGTTATACTCTTCGTAAAGAAGATATTACAAGCAACCCAAGTTCGCATTCTCTGCGGGATGTTAACGGCATCGTAACTCGGTTTGGAAGTTTTATCCGGCCGGATTACAGAGAGATGTATGTCCCGCCGGGTACCAATAGAGATCGAAGAGGATTGCGCGACGATTGGATCCGCGATCCATCGAAGCCCGCAAGCAATTAATTCATAAGCGTACGGTCGACACAATGGTAAACTATCCACAACACATATCCGTCTCTTCACGCAACAATGGCACGCTAACATCCGCATGTTGCACAAATTGTATCAAGATTTGAATGAACCACAGGGATAAAGGACTTGATACCCAAGAGACCAAAGATATTACCGCGGAGGATGCGCGTCCCTGCAATTGTCTCTCGTTGATATATTAATTAACATTATTGATGTTAAGTAAAACCGCCTCGGGCTTTCATTATGAATATCTATTAATCTTATCGAATCGTGCTACGGGATCGAGATGATATGATAAGCTTAATGGATTATTAAAAACATTCAAGCAATTATCGGATAAAATATCGATATTTATTGTTCAAAATTTTTTACATTTGCGATATATCATATTTTTATATTATATAAAAATAGCTAAGCTAAAAATTCTGTTATTTTTGTTTTTAAATTTTTGGAGCAAATTATTATTCACAAATTATTATTATAAAACAGACAAATTATCAATTTTTTAAAAATTATAATAATTAATTTTCATTAACAATTCACTGTACTATGATAATACAATATCAGTTATATAATATCAGATATATAGATATATTTTATATGTTCTCTATCTCTCACCGAAAATTTTCTTCAGCAAAGCAAATTTTTTCTAAATCTTAATGATAATAATCAACCAAGCATGTTATAACGTATTTCATTCGTTTTCCCTCTTACGAGAGAAGGTGAGGTGAAAGGCCTGATTGAATCAGCATGATTCCCTCGTTGCGTATTACCTATTGCGTAACCGCCAGATTCCACTCACATCGCGCGTTCCCTCATTTCGCCCCTAAAATCCCAGTCGACGACGCCTCGGGAAAACGAATCCTTTGAAGTCGCCTGTACCGAAGAAGTAATTTCAGCGCGACCCTCGCCGGCAATCGTTTTTCCCGGTTCGTATAGGGTCGTTCGTCTACCCCACGAAACGTTATTATCGGGAGCACCCCATCTTTGATAAAGACAATTAGCGACATAATTCATGCAACAACTTTCATAAACGAACAGACAATGTTGCAAATGCATTTAGCAGCCATTTTTGAACCACATTAATTTTAAATTGATAAGTATTGTATAGATTTTTTTTACGTGCGAATTTCTTTAAAAGCTTAAAATTATATATGCGTGTGTCGTTAAGTATTTTTAAAAATTCTTAAATTCTTTTAGAGAGATCTCTGTACAAAATAATTATAGATAAAAATATTAGAAGTATATAAGAAGGAGGAAGATTAACAGAATCTATTTCTGAGTAAAAAAAGCTATAATATTTATTTTATATTAAAACATATTTAATACTTTTAATCTTTAATCTTTATGGTATTGAAGATGACACAACGCAACTAACTTATCCGACTGTACTGTTTGTTTTTATTGAAAGCACGCGGCCTTAGTAGAGGACGCGTAATAGCACGAGCTTACTATGTCAGTCAGTTCGATGCTTACACTCGAATAAGACGGATCTATTCTCCATTCGTCATTACATTTTTCTTTTTAAATCTTTTTTATCTTTTTTACGCAACAACTTACATATCGCAAACTTTTTTCATTAAAATTACAATCGATATTCCTTCGAACAAAATCTTGATTCGATTTTACTTTACACAATTTAATTTAAGCAAAGTGAAACTCATACTCTGTACCTACGTAGTGTGGAACTTAGTTAACATTAAACTTCGCGCATATTGGATTCAAAATACGATTTCTACCAAAATTCAATCTGGAACAGTAGATACAGGACTTAACATTGCGGAGGATAAAATCCAATGCAAGGCACGTATTTCTAAAGTTAAGCTATAGATACAGTTTTATAAAGTAAATGATCTCGGAATAAAAATCCTTTCTTTTCTCCATTTTAAAGGAAATTGTCATGGATTCCCGTAATTAACGACTGAAAATTTTAACGTGAATTTTTACGCGAGAAAAATAGAAAATTTCATTTTTTACTTGAGATAACCATACTCTCTCGAAAGTAGTTTCAATATTATCGAACGGGAATAACGGTAGAAAATTTTTGCTTATCTGATTTCATGATAAAATATGCAATCTTTTTTTCAAAATTGCAAAACAAAATGTAATTTATCACGCAAATTCCATGACATATTCTCATTTGGTGCGATCGAGACGGTCGGATCGAAAATTGCTGAAACTAATTAACGAAAGGCATGGAAGATAGTACCAATTTACGAGCTCAGGAGTAATGGCCAGTTACTCAGAGGTTTGGTCTTTTTGTTGCAGGTGCGAGGGTGGCTGGCTACAGCTCGAAGGCAGCGCTCGTGTCTGCGGTCGTAACCAACGCTTCGATCGTCCGGTCGTGCTCTTCTCGGATAAGCCCATCGCGACCTTACATATGCAGTGAGTACGATATTTAATTATATCACTATATTTCAACTGGCGAACAATTTTTGCGTTATTGCTTTGTTCAATCAAACTAATAATCAATTTCTTTTCGAGCGAATTGCACATTGTTTGATTTGAAGAGTTTTCTGTTCGAAAAAAATTCACAGCATATATCGTGAGTAGATTGACATTTTAAATGTAAACATGAATGATTTTGAGTAAATGATTGTTTCCATTTTTATGGTTGAAAAATATTTTAGAAAACCGCACGCGTAAATTGAATTAATATTTATTTGGAAATGTAGCTAAATTTTTAAGAAGAACAATGCGTATTTTCGCAAAAATTTTCGCCGACTCCTTTTTCTTCACACTGGACAACTGTCCTAAATGAATAGCGGACGAGTAAGGTTGACTTAATGTTACTGTGCGAGTTACCATCAGTGCGCATAATACTATCGAAAAAGGAAGACGAGAATAGACGCACGGGAGGTAGAATTCCAATGGCATTACGAAATAGGAACACGTCCTGAGTTAAGTGCTTCTTACTAGTCCGGCCGTTTGCCATCCGGCTTGTTATTCAAACGTACATACATCAATTTCGTATATTAAATTTTATTCTTAAATACTATTAGGCACAGCAATATCCGAAAAAGATTAAATTTATATTTTCATAAAAATTGCTCAATCCACTGGCACTTATCACGATAAATCGGATTGATTTCGACGAAACGTAGAGAAAAAACGAAGTGCGAAAGTGACGTAGAGTATTTACACGATTCGTGCCTTACAAGAAACGATTTTCATTAGCCCTCTTTCACTTTTCTTCGTCGCTTGTACTTGAACATTTTCCTCGCGGAGAGTTTAATTTAAATGCAAATTGATTTATATACCTTTGATAAAATAAAATAGGGATCTTTCTGTTTACGACGCGCAAAGGCGAGAGAATTATTTTTTAAATTAACCTTGACAGCTTGTGCGCGCGCGCATTAGCACATAACCATATTTAATTATGAAAGTATAGAAGTAATAATGCAAAATTAATAGCTATTTATGACCCATGTGTTTTGAAACATTACGAGTGCCCAACAGTTAATGGAAACGGAATACAAATTAATTATTTCGTTTGATAAAATATATTACATTGATTTATAATGTTTAATAAATGTAAATTTGTGAAGGATGTCAACATTTTATGATTTTATTCGCTTGCAATATCATAAATCAGAATTAACCTTTGCACCAATTACTTTTTCTCATTATGTTTTATCGTGTTGAAAATCAAATGTAATTGAAATCAAAGCACGGAATAATTAATACTAACAATTTATGAAATTTTCATCCGCTCCGTAGTCGCAACGAATTATGATGGATGTCTGAGAGGCCCGAAAAATCTGAATAATTGATTGGTACATATTGTCGGCCTCGCGAGAGTCAGTAAATGGTAGAAAAGTTGCAAATTCGTTCGTAGGTAAATTTTTGAGCGGCTCTATTGGCATCTCCATTATTTATGTTTCTTAATTGACGTGTCCAAAAAAAAGTACAAGTACTAGCAAATGCTGTTGGACAACGAGAAGCTTCGTTACGAGCTCATTAAATATTTATGCCGAAATCAACGTCTGCGATATCCACGTCGTTGACTAAGGTCCGCGTATACATAAAACATTAGTAGTTTGCTCTACTGCAACTCGTTTCTTTGACGAGTCGCATGAAGATTTTCTGAAGAATGTTTCCGCCGCGATTTTATAGCCTGCTTAAAATTCGAGACGAGTCTGAATGAATGCTCGCCAGAAACATGTAGACATGTATGCCACACGAGAGATATATTTGACAAATTAACACGCGCAGTCTTGCTTTCGAACCGCGGTTAATTTTGTTTGTTTCCACGATCTGCCGCGCACAAGCTGAAAATTGAGAGATTTTCGCGAGAGTAACGTGGCGTAAAATTGAATTCTGCTAGCCGGTCCTGAGAGTAATTTCATTGTCGGGCATGATGTTCAATAAATTTATGAGAAAATCAAGCTTGATTTCTATCGCAAATTATTTTACATTTCCATAAACGCAGCAAACGTAAGGTAAGATAATAATTGTTTCAAATAGCATCAAAAAGTAAAACTCGATATGTGTAAAATTAATAAAATATACATGCTGACGTAATACATATTAAAACGTATATATATATATACTATCGTATTATCAATAAATACTTTTTTATGTGAAATTTATAAATTTTATGACGATTTATTTATTGTAATTATTGAATAAAAATCTCTTAACACATGAAAAGATAAATAAATGGTCATAAAATTTATACATTTCACATAAAAAAGTATTTATTGATAGTACGATATCTATTATACGTATAACAAGAAAAATCGAAAGAACTACTTGACGTGAAGAATGGCAGCTTTTAATCCGGAAATGTCTCTCGTGTTATTACTTGGCACTTTCTTCTTGGTAGAGACTCCAAAACGCAGCTTAGTCGGTATGAAATTTATATAAGTTGGGAAGTTGAGTGTAATGTGGCAAACCCGTCGCACGCGACTGGCATAAACGTGTCAAGAAATGATTTATGACGGTTAGTTTCCACTCCCGACCACGGCAACTCCTGTTTTTATGTGAAAATACACAAGAAACTAACAACAAACGACAAGTTATGAGCCATGATGCGCAATATTTCGATAGAATATTGAACAGGATATCTATGCATTATATAAAGAAGGAAAAGGAAACATAAGTAACACAGTAACAATTTTGTCGAATAGTTACTTCTGTTATGACATTTAAAAAATTATGCATTTAAAAAAAATAAAGTAATAATTAAAATAATTTGTCTACAAAATTTTATTTATTTAGATTATAATATATTTATATATTATTTATGTATTATTTATATATAGATAAATTATCTTGTAGATAATAAAGAATGTACAAATGGCAAGAAAAAACAGAGAATTTACACGAATGACTAAATATACGTTTACAATAATATGAAATAGCACGAATTTTTCATGAATTTTTGGTTGAAAATTCTTGGCGTCGTTTAATCGGTTAAATTAACGGGCTGCGACGAAAATTTCGTCGGATAAAATCTCGGAGATAAATACACAATGCACGTGGAATGGTGCATAATATTTTTCACTGCCATTCGTAAAGTAACGACATATCCCGCCGAATTCGAGGCAATAATCGGATTCCCGTGAAATTTCAACACGCTCATTTCCATAACTACGTCCTTTTATGTCACCGTGAAACATTGAAATGGACTGAATTATTCAACCGATAATACGTGGCTCATACGTGGAATACAGACGGAAACTTTATCCGTTGTGTTTCGACATATTGTATAATATACTTTAAACTACGATCATTGTCCACGCAGAATATAAATAATAAGGTCAATATATGATCTCAGTTTATCCTACAACAAAAGTGCTGCTTCATGTTGAAAGTACGAGAGAGCTTCACTTTTTCTTTCGCCAACATCAACATGCCAGATTTACTCAAAAAATATCTTTTTTTAGATGGTATATATTGAACAGACATATGTAGAACGAAATATGCAATAAAAATATCGAATAAAGTATCCAACATCTGAATGTCGTTTATAGTAAGGTAAAACTCCGTTTTATCACGTATCATCAGAAAGCAGTATTTTATTAGCATAAAAAATTGACTGCAAATTTTTACAGATCACTTTTCTTTCACCATTAATTTCAATTATACGACATCTTAACCTTAAATTTTATTCATTATAAAAAAAAATTATATTTCTTGAATTGTTTATACATCATTATAAATATCTCAGAAATATTTTAAGAATTTTGTTTCAAACAATTGCCTTATAATATATGTATACTAAAAAGCATTTATCATCATATTAAAAGCGTAGAAAATAAGAGATTTAACAAACTATAAAAATCTGATAGTTTTGTAGATTTTAGTGTTCTTTTAGATGTTCTTTGAATATAATGGATTATGTGACGAATTTTTCATAATGGAATAATTTGCATGTTCTTCAGATTATATATGTTCGATTACGTTTACTAATCGATATTAAGAAGTGATACATATACGTCAAATACACTTATATTGTGTGTGAAATCATATGTATATTATATATATCTTGAGTTTCCGCACACATAGATGTTCAAGTTTGACATTTTATTGAAGTAATAACATATCTTTGCATACATTCATTATAATTTTTCTCCAACTCATGTCGCATCCAATTAGTCAATATCGATAATTTCTCTGCATGCATTATTATAATTGAATAATGCTCTGTACGTTTAAAGATCAATGCATTTATTCCTTTCGACTAAATTTGTAAAAATTTGTAAAGAAATAATTTCAATAGAAGAAATGAAAATTAAAGTAAAAGAATAAAGTGTCCCTAATACACAATTACTTATCTCTTATATATGCATATTTGTTATAATAGAATTGAGTCGACCATTGCAGACTTAACAATTTCGCAGGAGATCATGAAACAATACTCGCAGAAGTTACAACGCGCCATAGAGCCCGAGAAAATCGTAATAAATTTAGTTGACTGCGAGTTTCTGCCTGAATTTTAGATGATTCTCGTCGTGGCGTGACAAATTTACGTCACAATCTGGCGTATTTTGGCGCATGCTATGTTTATAGGGTGTGCTTGTACACTTTCTCCCTTTTTTCCGTAAAACGATCTCCGATGAAAATTCATTAGTCGTTGTTTGCTGCCATCAAGATGTTAAATTACAAAACTACATTCCGAAATTTATTTCAACGATTGTTTTTTTGAAATTGGATGATTTGATTGAATCTTGGCTTGCAAATAATCAGAATTGAATGTACACTGATGATACGAATTATTATTATTATATGTTGATCTGAATACAGAATAAGAGGAAGCCATTATAATTATCATTTATCTTTGTGACCTAAAAATTTCTAAGCGTGTTTTTTGTATTCTGACAATCTGCATAATTAAGTGAGCGTTCTTCATTTCTCGCTGAGCACAATCTTTTCTTTTT